TCAAGAGGTCTTATGCAGGATAGAAATTAAAGCCATTTCCTAAAATAGGGACAATAGTTTAAGTATTGTTTTCAGTTAAGTATCCTATAATTGTCCCCTGTGCAAATGCTTCTACATAAGGCAAACAAATTGTAATTATGACTAATATAATTATATATCATTTCTAAATTGTATCTGCTTCAGCCTTGCCCCAGAAAATGGATTCCTTATGGATCTTATTCCTCATATCCAGGAGTTAATCATTGTCTATTCACCTTAATCAATAATACATTGGTAATTAATAAATGCTAATCAACAGTTAGTTTGGAAAACAAAACAAAGAACATAGAAATGCTCATCAGTGGATGGGAGGCAGAAAGACAAGGCAGTTGTGTCAGTAAGAGAAGCTTGACTTTGAAGGTCAAAAGATATTTCAGTTCAGTAAAGAACCAGGCAGGGAGTCTTTGTAGATATTTGAGGCAGGGAAGGAAGCATTGTTAAAGCATGAAAAAGGAACTTTTTTGCCACTTGGGTGAGCAGGGAGGAGAAGCGAGAAGTGGGAATTACACTGCACCAGTGACTGGAACACTAAATTCAAGAATCAAACCAACGCAACAGAGTCCAAACAAAGGGACACAATGGACACACTTAGTGGAAATGAAATTGGATTCTGAACTGGATTTTAAGACCCTGCTATGAGCTATATGCTACATCAAGAGATAAATGTTACCAATTCTGCCCATTTTCAGAGAGCTCCATAAACTCTGGACAATGTATCGAATTGACTCACAGCGTGACCCCCAAAAAGGAATAGTTGCTTGTAGAAAAAAGCTTTCTGAAAATCCTGTAGAACTTTAATGAAGAAAACTACCTCCTTCCACATAGATCAAGAGGGTTAAAACTGCACATTTTGAGAAGCATGAAGAACGGGCCTGAAAACTGATTGAGTCCAAAGCCCTAGCACAGTACAGATTTCCACCCAACTGAAGTCTTAGACAAATTGTCTTCCACTCTCAGGTAGATGCTATGACACGAATGCAGAAGTTTATTTAGTGACTCTCATTTACCCCACCAATCCATGAAACCAGCCTTTGCCTTGCAAAATAAAAAGTGACCAGAGTACCAAAAGTAGGATTGGGATATAGTGGGGAGGAAAAGAAGATTGCAATGCCAGGAGGCGTACCTAACTATACAGAGAAGACTCTCCCTACTTGCATTCAATATTGATTTTTTTTGCCCCAGTGCAGAGAATATGATTACCTGTATTTCAGCAAGTGTAACAACAGGTGTTACTGTCAACTGTAAAAATATGCCATCTTTTTTTAAAGCCGGTGCTAGCATTTGGCATTATGAGCTCCCTTGGCAATAAACTCTGGAGGCAAAGTTCAAGGGTCTGAAGAATTTCTTATGTGTTATTGCACTGGAGTAACTCACATCTAGTCTGGCCATGTAGATGGCTTAGATGAGAGCTGAAGGCTTCTTGTGTCCACATATCATTTCCTGATATGAATTTGACTTCCAGCATTATCAAGTGATAAAATTTACTTCTGACATGATTTCCATTCCATCTGCATGGTAGCCAAAAAATATGTCTGGGTTAATTGTGTTGGACCCTGATAATTAAGTTGATCCCATTCATTATTCTGTCTGTAAGAACTTGAATGGCAATGCTTTCTTCATGAAACTGGCCACCCTGCTGGGGAAGTATTTCTATTAGTACTTAATGGTGTGCAAGTTGGTGGGACAGGGAGATGGAGGAATACGCTATCCCTATGTTCATATGTGGGCATGTGAATATGTTTCATTTTGTTCTGTGAGAACTACCTGCTAACCAATCCTCTGCTTGCAATCTTGATCTTTGAGTCATCCTCCCCTAGTTCTGCTAAAATGATCTCCCTAGAGTGCGCATCTGCCCATGATACTCCCAGGCTTCAAACATTCTGATGATTCCCATGTGTCTATTGAGCAAAGTCCAAGCAAAGTAGCACAATTCATAACACCCTTAAGAACAAGTGTCCACCTATCTCCTTCCTAGGCCCATTTCTCATCATTCCTTATCTTGGATTGTGGATCCATGACAGACATAACTTATTCTATATTTCATGCTTTTTACTCAGGCTGTAAATCTTTGCTTGGCCAATTTTTTTTTTTAATCTTTCTTTTTAAGATTATTTATTTATTTATTTGAGAGAGAAAGAGTAAGCGAGAGAGAGAGAAGGAGCAGGGGGAAGGCGCAGAGGGAGAAGCAGAATCCCCGCTCAGCGAGCCCAACTCGGGGCTTGATCCTGTGACTCTGGGATAACTGACTTAACTGACTGAGCCACCCAGGTGCCCCTGCGTGGCCAATTTCTCATCCTTTGAGAGCTTAGGCATTCCTTCCTGTAGGAGTCTTTTTGCTGAGGCTTTCCTTCTGGGCAGTTGGGATAAGTACTTCTTTCTATACTTCTTTCTTTTTTTTTTTTTTCATGTTTTTCTTTTTTATTTTTTTTATTTTATTATGTTATGCTAATCACCATACATTACATCATTAGTTTTTGATGTAACGTTCCATGATTCATTGTTTGTGTATAACACCCAGTGCTCCATTCAATATGTGCCCTCTTTAATACCCATCACCAGGCTAACCCATCCTCCCACCCCCCTCCCCTCCAGAACCCTCAGTTTGTTTCTCAGGGTCCATAGTCTCTCATGGTTCGTCTCCCGCTCTGATTTCCCCCCTTCATTTTTCCCTTCCTACTATCTTCTTCTTTTTTTTAACATATATTATTTGTTTCAGAGGTACAGACTTCTTTCTTCAATAACTATGTGCAAATCTTTATCCTCACACCCATAGTGCTTCGTTGAAGTACATTAATGTTCTTGTTCCTACTAAACCGTAAACTACTAGGTGCTATATTCTAAGATAGCTTCTGGCACAGAGAAGATAAGAACCAGCAGTGCCAATCGTGTTAAATCCTTGTCCAAAGGCTGGAGAAGACCAATGTCTCAGCTCAATCAGTCAGACAGAGCATATTTTCCCTTCCTCTGCCTCTTTGTTCTAGTTAGTCCCTCAGTGTATTAGATAATGCCCACTCACATTAGGGAGGAGATCTTCTTTGTTCAGTCTGCTGATTCAAATGGAAACACTGTCACAGATATATCCAGAGATAGTGTTTAACCAGATAACTGAACATCCCATGACCCAGTCAAGTTGACATGAAATTAACCATCACAACCTCGAATGTAAAGTCAAGGTTTAGACTAATTCGTAGGCAGCATGAATTCATTATGTGCTTTACGTGCTGGGGGAAATTGCATGAGTATGAAAATTGTATTTTGGGACAATGAATCTGATGTTGGCTTGTAAAATGAAATACAGAAGAGATCAGAAAAAACTACACATGTGAGTCCTGACATGTGAGGTAATAAAAGTCAAACTCCAGAGTTTGTGGGGAATGTGTGAAGGAAAATAAAAGATAGTTGTCAAAATAATCCTTGTTTAAGTTTTCAGTGCTTTCAGTGAGTTAAGGATTGTGTGAAGTGCCATTTAAATCTCACAGAAACCCTGCATGGGTCAGACACTGAAATCTGAGACAACCCAGGTTCAGGTTAAGTCTCTTGCCTGAAGTCATACTTCAGAGATTCAAACCCAGCTCTGTGATAAACTCATACTCTTTCCACTGCGTTGTTCTGCCTCTTGGCCAAATGGGTAAATCAGTCAACAGGTGCACATGGTGTAGACATGGCAGATATATCTTTCAGGATTTTCTTCACATTTTACAAATGTCCAGTCATTTTGGTAAAGTCAGGAGAGAGAAAAACAGCTAGGTAGATACAAAGGACTGAGTTCCCCTGTATCTTCATTTGTAAGTCAACTCAATATTAGACAAGATTGCCAAAAAATCACCTAGAGATTGAAGCTCAAGACACTCCAGGGCCACTGTTTTTTATTTAATGAAACACCAAAGATGTCCAGTGTGAGTTCTGTGAAGGGGAGACTACTGTGGTTTTTAGTTCTTAACATGATGTGGATATACATGTGGCAGGCAGAATAATGGCTCCCCTAAAAGATGCCCATGTCTTATTCCCTAGAACATGTAAATGTTATCTTTTATGGCAAAAAAAAAAAAAAAAAAGGACACCATATATATAATTAAATTAAGGATTTTTGAGATGGGGCAAGTATCCTGGATTATCTACATGAGCCCTAAATGCTACCACATGTATAAGATGGCATTATACATCACATATATAAGACATCTTATAAGAAACAAGTAGAGAGATGGCACAGAAGAGGATAAGGCAATGTGACCACAGAGGCAGAGACAGGAGAGATACCACCACAGGACAAGGATTGCTGGCAGCCGCCAGAAGCATGAAGACTGAAGGAACAGAGTCTCCCATGAGTCTCCATGAGGGAGCACGGTCCTGTTGACACTTTGATTTTGTCCAGTGTTACTGATTTTGGACATCTACTCCTGGCCTCCAGAACTATGAGAGAATAAATTTCTGTTGTTTTAAGTCACCCCACTCGGTGATAATTTGCTACAGCAGCTACAGGAAACTAATATAGTGGCCAAATGACATTGGAAGGCCTAAATCCCAAACACCCTAAAAATTCAATAATACATCGCTGGATTATATCCTTTTCACAGAGGAAAAGAGTGGGGGAGGGCATACTTCCCCTGGGCAATACCTTAAAAGGGACTTGACTTGACCTTGGAGAACAGAATATTATGGCCTCCCAGACTTTGTTTACTCCATGTGCAGACTATTTTACAGTCATTCCTTCCATACTGCCCATTTAAATTGTCTCTGTCACAGATTTGACGGATGGTAGATGTTAGAACTGACAAAATAAATGAGAGCTAATAAAACAGGGAAGTGTTCTTTCATCGAGCTACTGAAGCAATGCAATGCTTTCTAACACCACGATGAAACCAAATAATTGGATACCATGATGAATTTGAGGTATTATAATTTGATGGTGTTAGGATTATGATAAGTGTGAAACCGTAATGCCATGTTCCTTTTGTCCGTAGGCTCGGTGGGATGGCCTGACTGGGCGTATCACCTTCAATAAAACCGATGGCTTGAGGAAGGATTTTGATCTGGACATTATTAGTCTCAAAGAGGAAGGAACGGAAAAGGTAACCGTCTCAATAATAAATTTAAGAATAAAATAAAGAGTACTGTTCAAGCATTTTAATTGTACCTACAAATAGAGTAGTAAGATGATTCTCTTAGCAAGTTCATTTATGGCCAGTTTTCTAGCTCTCTCTCCCTACTCTGCTGATAGATGCTGACATGCTAGATTCTGAAATTGTATGTTATTAATAGCAATACTAACATTCATCTAGTGCTCAGTTTATACAGCAAGCATGATTACAGTATTAAATACATATGGCCCTACGAGTGGGCTGTCGTTAGCCCCGCCTCTCAAAGGTTTTAAGAAATTGTGTTTAGACTTGGAAAACAAGGAGTTTGTCAATGATTTATCTATGGAATGGCATCCAAGTTTTACTCAGAAATGAATTTTAATTGCACTTAAGATTGACAGAGGGATAGTCTAAAGTAGGAGAGAAAGGGCTTACTGGCTCTTTGATTTTAGGAGGAAATAGGCCCCCAAAAATGCATTTTCATGCTGGGTTCTAATCTTAGGATTATTTTAGTTGTAATTTTCAATCTCTCAAAGTTCCAAGTCCCATATGAGCTCATTTAGAGTAATGCAAATGTGGACTATTTAGATTAATAATAATAATAATAATAATAATAAAAAGAATTTGGCTTCTCAGTATATTTTATTATACCAATTTTAATATTCAATTATGTACTGGAATTAATTAACACTTATATTGTGAAGATTTTTGCCCTTTAGGATCTTAAAGAAAAAAAGGTTTTGAAACCTCCAAAACAATCATCTGAAAATCAAAACTCTGTAATCCAACATTTTTTTTCTCACTGTAGTGCACAGGAAGGTATGTTTCCTATAGAAAAGTGCCTTTGGGAACCAGTTACTTACTAACTGAAATATTTGGGTTGATCTTTAAAATGAGATAAGATTTCCATTTCTGTTCTGTTGCTTTTGGTAACTGAGACATATATTTTTTTTAAGGTCCTGACTAGGCCCCATCCCCAAATAGCCTAATTAAAACAAAGATTAATTAGGCTGCATATAATAGATGGTGACCACTGGTGTGGAAATGTTTGAGAAAAATTATTAGTTTGCAGCTTTGAGGGTACACATTTTGAAAATGCCCTCTCTTCCTGTCTCTGTCTCTCTGCCTCTCTGCCTCTCTCTCTGTCTCTCTGTCTTTCTCTCTCTGGCTCTCTCTGGCTCTCTCTCTCTCTGTCCCTCTGTCTGTCTCTCTCTACTTGTCTCTCTCTGTCTCTCCCTCTCTATCTCTCTGACTCTCTCTGTCTTTCTGTCTCTCTGTCTGTCTCTCTGGGGTCTCTTCCCTCGGATTTGCTGGTTTGTTAGTTTAACGTGTCTGGCAGAGCACAAGGCACCCACCTTGCCTCCATCAAGGCTGTGGGCACAAAAGAAAATAAAAGAATACTTTTAGGGACTGAAAGCCTCTAATGGCTGTTTTTAAAAAATGTCTGCTCCTCTGTGCATGCCTCTCTCCCCCCTCCACTCTGTTAATGTATAGAACTGAAAGGGGAAGAAAAGCTGTTAAGGAAGCATCGTTCTGGCTCCAGCGTGTGATGAAAGAGATGGAACCATCTTTCTGCCTTCACAGCTATTTATATGCAGCAATATTATGCACACTCCATTGGTGTTTTTCCATCACAGGCAAAATCAAGTTAGATGAAAGTGTTTTCTCAATTTGTTTCTTATCTCTTCATTGTTTGCAATAACTTTTCTTTCTTCAGGTGACTTGGGCTCCATTCCTGGAAGGAATGACTGGGCCTTAAGGCAATGGGAAAGCCAGCCCATCTCTCTCAGGAGGAACGGGAGGAGATGCCCAATCTTTTCATGTCAACCTCTCACGGGGTCCACAGAGAAAATTGTTAGAAAAAGCCCACTTTTCACTTCCACTCAAGTTTCTACTGCCTGGAGACCCATAATCAAAGAACATGTCATCAAGCATAGCGTGTTTTCTTCTTGCTTAGCAATAGCGTGTGTGCATGCGTGTGTGGATTGACTGTGCTTGTGAAAATACCTTGAACAGGCCTTCTTAAAGAATGATGAAAGCCCTTTCACTCTGCAGCAAAGCTGTGCATATTAAAAATATCTTTATATGATTTTTTTTTTTTTTTGGTGTGCGAAAGGGAAAGTGAACATCAGGATGTACTACCAAGTGGAAGTAACTTTTGTGGGACCCCATACTTAATTCATCTCTTTACTGTAGCTGTGTTCAGGCTTTATGTTGAATTAATGTGCAAGATTCCAAACTGTGGGTGGGGAATGTAACATGCTGAGCACTCACACACCTTAATACCTTCTGGGTTCCATGCTCCATTTTAATTAAGTGCTATTTTTATTTTTCCCTCTGAAAACCAAGGCTGCTGGCGAAGTGTCTAAACACTTATATAAAGTGTGGAAGAAGGTTTGTACTTGGACAAAAACTGCAGGAGCTCTGGGGGGTGGGGTGGGGAATATCAGAGGAGAAGCCTGCACCTTTCTGGTTTTGCCAGACCGGTAGATCTCTAATTGCAGTTTAGAGGTGATAGTCTATATAAAGGGAGAACGGGGTGATTGAATATGTTGTCTCTCAACAACATGACCCATGAATTGAAAACAGGCTTGAGGTGGATTAAATAATGATGGATTAAGTATTTCCCTCTAGATTATTTTTGTTTCTCCCAGGCAGGATCAGTCCTGGTTAGCACTGAAAGTAGGTTATTGCAACAGAAGCAGACACTGGTCCATTTATATTCTTTCTCAAATCACTAAATATTTTCCCTAAGAGGCATGAAAACAATAGATTTGACCCATCAGACTAGTCAAATAGGCTAAGACTGAGAAGGCTAGGATAAGACATCTCCCTCAATGTCACCACCATAAAATAGGAGCCATTTTCAGAAATTCCATTCCCTTAGGAGGTATCTTTGTTTTGCGTAGGATCTTTGTCAGTGTATATTGTCTGGCAATTTGTTTCAGAACCAGTTTCCAGAAGACAAAAACATTAGAGACTCTGGAAGGGAAATGAGATTATCTTGTAAATTCTAACACCTCCTATTTCATAGTTTATTGTACAGTATCATGTTGTCAAAGAATGCGCACAGATTTAATGTAAAAGCAAATGTTAGACATTAAAAACATTTGGATCAGGAAAATGTCCCAGTGATGTGCAAACATTGTCTTTCATTTTCTCTCTCTCTCTAAACCTAATTGCTAAAATATCTAATGATTGACAGATGCAACTTGAATTACTTCAAGTTGTTCAATTTGAATGGTTTTGTCAGTTTCACTTTTATCTTGCAAATTATCAGTTAAGTCATGGAAAGTGTAAACAGTTTCCCCCTGTGGTCCAAAAGCTTGATTCTCTCTTGGTAGTACTCAGTAGATGAGTTCAAAAATGTCGTTTTAAGTTTTAAAAATGTAAGTTTAATAACCTTGTTTTAATCTTCCAATGAATCAGGCTACCAAAGGCAAAGAGAAGGCAATCTCGTTTCCTCACTGCTAATAAATAGATGAACCTAACTGGGGCCCAGAAAGAAGCTTATTCCACTAATCCAGCTTGAGACTCCAGGCACTCTTTGCAATGTTGAATTAATTCAAACCAAATATCCTAGGGAATGGAATCCAAACTCTGAAATTACACACAAGGGAGGGGAATGTCCTCTATTTGTCACTAAACTGCAGTAATCACCCCCCCAACACAGAATTCCCAGAGATGCAACATCATGCCTCTGTACCTCTTCCTTCCTGCTGACCTATCATTCCCCACATTGTAAGCTGCATATACTGTGGTGTGCTGTTTTGTGTTATGACTGATCATCAACAATTTACAGTAACCTGAGCGCTAGCACGTGAGACCTATTGTCCCTTTCCAACAAGACTAAGATTCAAATTCCAAAAGCTCTTTGAATGCTGACCTCCAAAAGAGGATGTAGCGATCTTTCCAAAATCTGTCACTAAAATATGTGTTCATAAGTCTTATGATACAAGAAACAGACAAGTCTTTTATTTTCTTTCCTAAATACTTGATATTTCACTCAGCAATTTTGGATTTTGACTTTATGTGGATCACTCTGTAGGTTTGGAAAATGGATACTAGTCACTCTCTGAACACCCTTTTGTTGTGTCGCTTTTTAAAAAAAGTTTGCTTAATGTCATTTGGGCACTCATTTTCAGAAGCTTCCCTTGGTTGTCCTAGATAATAAATGGCTGCTCCCGCATGGCCGTTTACAAAGTGAAAGAAGGCAGGACCAGACAATTTAGCTCTTGAGTGTTCCTCCCCACGAATAATTGATCCACCCTCTGCTACTTCTCACTGGTAAATTACTGTGTTTGCTTTGGCTCTACGGTTTGAAAATTGAGGTTCTGCTTCCTGGAGGCACTCCTCCAAGGTCAGAGAACAAGACTGAAATGCTAAATATCTAGGCATCTGGTTAACTGTATCCCTCCCTCCAATACACATGACTCATGAAATCTTGCTTTTTTTGAAACAGACATTCATTTGCTGATATGTCCATTTAATTAATAGGTAAAGTAAAGCCAATTGACTACTTAGCTTCAAAACACACACACACACACACACACACATACACACACAGCTTCTGTTTTGCTGATTAAACAATTTGAAAACAGAAGGCTGTGGTCATTCAAACTGCGTATGTATACTGTCCACTTCCCAGGAATAATCTGGGAATAACCTTGATACTCTTTTAGTCCAGATTTGAAGGGACCTCTGTTACAGAGATAGTAGGAAAAAATATTCTCCCTTTTCTCATCTCATGGAAGAAATTTCACATTGAATGGGACTCTGGGACTCAGTTGATTGGAAATGCTGTAGCAATGATATTTGACCTCCTCACTTTTGGTTGGGCTGGTAAAAGAAATAAAAGCCAGACATTAAGCTGTGGAGTGCATTTGTCTACAGTTTCAAGTTTGTACATTAAAAGAGAATGATATTGTGAGGCCATTCAACACTGCCATTTTCAAATATTAGTATAGTTCCTTCAAACACACACTTGACATTAATAGAAATTAGTTAAAGAGAACACATTCCATTACTTAACAAACTGGCTACAAACACAGTTATTTTCTCCACTTTCCAATACTTAATTAAAAGTTAGGTTCCATTCACCCCAGTGCCTAAGTCAAGTTTTAATTAGAAGTATAGCCACAGCCCAATTTACACACAGCCTTCGTTGAGTTAGAAGTCAATTGCTCACAACCTAAAGCATAGCTTTGGATGAAAACCAACAGACTCCAGGCATGTTTAGCCTGAGTTATGTTTCCTAAAAAAAAAAAAAAAAAAAAAAGCGTCTTTGCCTCAAAAAAGTGGAAGAAGAGGTACACATTGAGAAGAAGAGAAAAAGTTGTCCCCCTTTCCTGGGTTTAAAGCCAACCAAAGAAATCCGAAGATTCTTCAGTTCACAGATGTTGTGTGCATTGCATGAGTTCTACGACAGATATTGCCCTTGATGGTGGAAAGACTGAATGGTTATTAAAGGTGCTGTTCCATATTCCAAGCCTATATCTAGTAACCTCATTACAGATAGGCTCAAAACACTTCCAAATGCAAACACTACCTCCAATCCCCCATTTACCTAGACCGGTCTCCTTATTTCATTGGCCAACTAACTCTTACTAAGTGTAGAAAGAAAACAGTGACATTGAAATAGTTCACAGTGATGTGTGGATGTGTGATAGTCCTTGAAACTTCCTCAAAAAATTTACATGTCTAAAAAGAGTATTTATCAAGCCAAATGAATTTCCGCTGCTCTATTTAGGCAATAAATCAAAGTAAAGAAATAGAAAAGGAAAGAAGAGGCCTAACATTCCCACTGGTGATATTTTATTTAATCATCAGAAAAGCCCTCCTTCTGGGCGCCTGGGTGGCTCAGTTGGTTGGGCGACTGCCTTCGGCTCAGGTCATGATCCTGGAGTCCCGGGATCGAGTCCCGCATCGGGCTCCCTGCTCGGCGGGGAGTCTGCTTCTCCCTCTGACCCTCCCCCTCTCATGCTCTCTCTCTCTCTCATTCTCTCTCTCAAATAAATAAATAAAATCTTAAAAAAAAAAAAAGAAAAGCCCTCCTTCCTCCATTTTGCTGATAAGGAATTGAGGCACAGCAGGGTTAATGAACTTGCCCAGGGTCACACTGCTGGGACATTGCAAAGCTAGGATCTGGACAAAAGTGTCTGTAAAGCTTATATTCTGCCCAGGCAGGCAATGTCCTCCCATTGGGAGAATATATTCAGGGATCAAACATAGGTCTACCCAGTCCATCCCAGAGTCTATCCAAGTGTTAGTGATCCTCAGTTGCCCCTGTAGTTCATGGCTCCTCTACTTTATCTGCCTCTAAATTAAAATAAATAAACAAATAAATAAATAAATATTTCCCTCACAATCCAAATTCTTTTACAACAGGGCAAACTTGAAGAAGTTACTGGGGCAGTCATTTGAATGCCCTTTATTATCAATGTCTGTGTAGCTCTTAACAATTACCAACACTTTCATGTACATCTTCTCATTTGGTCTTCTCAATATCCAGATGACATATGTTACAGTTAGAGAACTGAAGCTCAGAAAGGTCACCAGCTCGCCCAAGGTCACACAGCCATTAGCTTTGCCTGGCTCTGAAACATGTCTGCATTCTGTTTGTCTCACCAGGCTGGCAATAAATGCTTGCAGAAGGCTTTAGCTAAATAGCTCGGTTCCCTGAGGCTTTTCTCCTAGGTTCCTCCAAAAGCTAAACAAATCAGTGTACTTCTTTAGAACCTACTAATCCAGGAGTAACTTGGCCACTGGAAAAAACTGTGGGTCATTAATTTTTTTTTATTATGTTATGTTAATCACCATACATTACATCATTAGTTTTTGATGTAGTGTTCCATGGTCATTAATTTTTAAAAGAGCATTGAGTTTCACTGACTAGTAATCACCATGGGTGGTTCTGTGATAGATCAATGAGCAATAAAAATGAATACCCTCACTGAAGGAGTTCATAGTCAAGTGCACAGACATAACAAGTAAACACAAGAGTAACAGGCACCCCTGCCCAGCACTGACTCCTCCATGAAGACAGGATCAGTCTACTGTTCATCCACACTTTTTGTCTTCCATTTATTTTTTTCCCTTTTAGATGGCCCATCTATCCATCATCCACCTTACTCCTTTCATCTCATTCCTTATAAATTTTAGACACCAATGGTACCACTTTGGCAATTTAAGGTTTGTATGACTAAAATGTAAGCTCCACTAGGGAAGAAAGTTTTGTCTGTTTTGTCCATTGCTATGTCCTCCAGTGCCTAGAACAAGGCATATGGCACAGAATAGGTGCTCAACACATACATATTGGGAGAAAAATCAGATACTCATTTAAGAATTCTGAATTTAAAGAACAGTAAACTTAATAAAGTAATAAACAAAAAGACCTCTCCCCACTCTATCCCAAATGGCACTAATTGTTCCTGTTCCATGTGCACACTCATTCCTTCATTGTTCATTTTCCCACAGTGAGTAGCTTCAGTGTGATGCCCTGGTGTCGTCTCCCCAGACTCTAAGCTTTTATGTCCATTCCTGGTGTAGAAGGGGCCTCTCTTTAATGTAAATGGGGTCACTGACAGCAAGCAGCCTCTGATGTATTGTGTTCTGTGTAGATTGGGATTTGGAACTCGAACAGTGGGCTTAACATGACCGATGGCAACAAAGACAGGTCCAACAATGTCACTGATTCACTGGCCAACCGGACACTCATCGTCACCACCATTTTGGTAAGTTGACTGAGTGGAATTCAGGGTGCTTTATCCAGACTCCTGCCCTAGATTTTGAAGAATTCTTCAGATATCTTTTTCATGCCAACAATTTTGTCTGCAAATGTCAATTTTTAATCAGGACACTAAAAACTTATGTTTGTGTGTACCTATAATTGCACTGAATTAGAAGCTTCCAGTAATGTTCTGCACATCTCCCACCTTCAATCCTTTCTCAGTTCTGCCCTGCTGCACTCTCTGGCCCCACTCAGCTAGTCTCTCTTGCTCTCTGGCTGCTGGTTGGTTTCAACCAAGTAGAGACTCTGGCAAGAGACCAAGGAAGTAGGGAAAGAGAAGTAAGAGCATTTCTTCCCCTGCCTCCAGTGGTTTTCTCAGAACGTCTATCTCTCATAACCACAGCTCCTATTCTGTCAATGATCCTGCTTCCAGACCTCTGCTGTCCTGGATTCCAGGAGCACTCTTTCCTCCTGCCTGCCTTAACCCTAAGTGATACAAGCTTCCTGATATGTTGGTCCCTGGATGTTTATACCCCAGCATTCCTCCCACCTCCATCCCTATTGGCTCCCTTTGCCTTGCTCACACCTCTGTAAATAACCCCTTTACTAAGAGGCTTTTCAAAAGCCCAGGTAAGGGTACTTCCTGCTTCCTATTAGAACCTGATCATACCCTTATCCAGTCATTGTACATCCACAGGCTGTTCATTTTTTCTCTTTTCCAGCCCTAACCCAAAGAGTAAAGGACAAGAGAGGCCACCTCTGAAATCTTCACTTTCAGACATTCTTGCTTTATTAGATTCAGTCTATAATGTTAGACCAATTTATTTCTGAAACCGTTAACTTCTGAGAATTGTTCTTCCATAATAAAAATGGTTTTGTTTTTCTGGTGACTACTTTCTCAGCAACTATCTCATGAAAATGTAGAATTTTGTATTTCTATCAGTTTGAGGATAAGCCTAAATGGGTCTTAAATGTCTGGGGGAAAATGTATAATGAGAAGTAAAAGGACGTATCAGTAATGTAGGAACTATTATAATGTTATAAAATAAATTTTCATTTAGCCAAATGAGAATAAGCTTAAAGATACGTGGCAGTAAGGAAATGTCCATTATTCATAGAATAGGGGATTTATTATGTAAGTGTATAAGCAAAGAATTACCAAATATAAGATTTGAGGTGAGTTCAAATAAGAAAATGGAACTGCTAATATAAGAAGACATATAAATAGTCTTTGAACAGGATACCCTGAAGGAATCCAACCAAAATATGTAGATAAAAGTGAATAGTGAAACTGAGATGAAATTTAACTGAGAGATGAGGAAATGAGAATATTTAGTAGATAGGAAGTTTGAAGAGCAAGAAGATGTATTTGCTGATTTAAATTTCCTTTTTGTTAGTAGGCGAAGTTCTTATGTAAAAGCCAGGAAGGAGGGGTTCATGAAAAGGAAGTCTGGGTGTGGGGACAGATGAAGGCCAGATGCCCAGACATCTGGTCCTTCATTGCTGGACCTCAAGTTCAAATGTGACTCTGTCTCTATCATACTATTTACACACAGCCCTGCCCTCAGCAGTGGAGAAAAACATTCTCATTCACACTAAAGAGGAAGAGAAACTAATATGGGAAATGTTCTGTATTGGTAGAAGGTATAGGGAAAATGAGTTTAGGGAAGGCAGGAAGGTGAGCGACTAACTTCCTTACTCTGAAATCTTAACAATCATTTTCAAATATTTTATGTCTTCCAACTGTGGATGGAGCTTGTATAAGGAAATTCTGCCTTCATTATAACAGGGTTTTCATATCTGCTTTGTTTCAAATAGGAAGAACCCTATGTGATGTACAGGAAATCTGATAAGCCCTTATATGGAAATGACAGATTTGAAGGGTATTGCCTAGATCTGTTGAAGGAATTGTCAAACATCTTGGGTTTCATTTATGATGTCAAACTCGTCCCTGATGGCAAATATGGAGCCCAGAATGACAAAGGAGAGTGGAATGGAATGGTCAAAGAACTTATAGATCATGTAAGCAAAAATATATCTTTTATATATGGGTTTTAAGTGTCTGACAAAATGCATAGTAAGAAGTAAAAGAGAAAAAATGACTGAGTCAGGGTCAGAAGAAATGTTACATTTTTTTTTAATCCTAATAATGGTTTAAGAAGTAGGAGAAAACAACAAGGAAATGGAGTTTGCTTACGTAGAAGGGCAAGTAAGGACACAAACTGAGAACAAAAATTTATGGGTCCATCCATCATGCTGAAGAATAAACCTGAGTGATTCTTAAATTCAATAAAGAATTCTACAGTTTGCAGCTCAGAGCAAAGTCTCATCTTGGCAGCTGATTTTATGACCAAGTGGCTCCTTCCTTGCTTTGCTCATATGTCCTTTTTAAACACACCCCCCTGCAGTTTTTTCCTCCATTTAGTTCCAGGATGTATATATGTCTGTCTGTTTGTATTTCATACCTTCTTGTTTCTCTTTGCTAATAAATACTATTTCATAAGCACAAGTATGTAAATTAACTGTTTTTATACTAGAGCCAAGCATTACATGAGCTTCTTGCATGAGAAACATTTGGAATTGAGAAACATAGATCAGGAGGAGCCAGGAAAATCCAGACATTTGCTGGGAAGTGAGGCAACTAAGACAATGATTTTTAACTTGCTTTTGCAGAAGGCTGATCTGGCAGTGGCTCCTCTTACCATTACCTATGTTCGGGAGAAAGTCATTGACTTCTCCAAGCCCTTCATGACACTGGGCATCAGCATTCTCTACAGGAAGCCCAATGGTACCAATCCAGGAGTCTTCTCCTTCCTCAATCCCCTGTCTCCTGACATTTGGATGTATGTGCTCTTAGCCTGCTTAGGAGTCAGTTGTGTACTCTTTGTGATTGCAAGGTAAGTTCGAGAACTACTGAATTTACAACAACAGATCTAGGTCAGTCTCAGATTAATATGTATGCTCTAGACTAGGTAACATAGGTTAAGAACTTTAAAATGTTATTCTAATTTTGCCTGGTGCTCTATTCTGTCAAGTTCTTCCCCAAAAAGTCACGATTTGAATGAATATATTCTAATTTTTTAAGGTACTTTTAAAAGACAACAAGAAGATAATTTTCATATTAATTTAATTTTCACAGTATTTAAGGCAGCATAAAATATTTATTTACCTATCTTCTCTGAATTATATTACAACAAAGCAACAGCTCAGCTAATAAATCTAAAACGTTTCAACAGGAAGAGTAAAATGGTATCCATATACTTGACACTTGGAATATTCCATTACTCAAAACAGAAAAAAAGTTAGCTAGGAATTATTGTAGTAAATAAGAAACCCTGGGGTGAAACAAGAAACAAAGAAAAATACTTTGAAAATTTGATAAAATTTATTTTTAAAAACTTTAGAGAGTAAAAGAGCATTCTAGAAATAACTATGAAAAGAGAGATTACTAACATGTAGAGTCTAAAGGCATGAAATATTTATGCTATCATTGATGATTCAGCTTAGGTTTTATTTTCTGAGATAACTCTATATTTAACCATCCCACTTTACACAATTCATCAAAGGATTTTTATACCTTTCAGTACATTATATTTTCTAAATTCCTTTGATGTTGAATTTGAAACACAGCTATTTTATCTTTCTGTTGGCTTAAACATTTGATATCCCTAGATAGAACATGTAAAAAAGTAATTGCTTTTGTATGTACCCCACTAGTTTTCAATCTTTTTCATCTCTCAACAAAACTCAGTGAACTTTTTCCCCTGATCAATTTTTGTTTTCCCTCCAGTAATTTCTATGAGAAATATTTCTTCATGCCAGGTCTCTGTCATTTTCCCCTCTCTGGTTTTGATTAATGCCAGGTAACTCTTTCCCTGGCATAATTATAAAGCAAGCTTGGGAAAATAACCTAGGCTAGGAAGTCTTAAAGATCCATGAGGCACACACATACAGTCAAACTGAATGAACATGTGTGCTCACATGTGGGTATACATTCAATATGAAATAAATGTTTTCTCCATACCTCACACCTTATAAAGTGTATCATTATCAGATCCAAATTTTGGCCAAGTATTAAGCTACTTTTAAATAATGACCAAAGCTCTCTTTTTATAAGTCCTACCACAGAAGATAATATATTAGTGTGTATGTGTATGTGTATTAATGTGTATGTGTAGTGATATTGTGCTTTGATACTTTAGTGCTCTAAATCAGTGGTTCTCAACTAGGAGGGATTTTATCTTTCAGGTAACATTTGTCCATGTTCTAAAAACATTTTTTTGGTTATCACAACTGAGGGTGGAAAATGCTACTGGTATAAAGTGGGTAGAGCTCATGGATGCCACTAAACATCCTACAGTATGCAGACAGTTCCCAACAACAAAGAGTTACTTCAAAATGTCAATAGCACCACGTCTGAGAGATCATGTTTTAAATAATGAAAGAAGATGTTGCTTTGGGTATCAAATTTTAAAAGATAAGCTGCTCACCTTTGGAGGTGCATTTCTTATTACTGGTTAGTGAGTGAAATTAATACTGCCCTAGAATGGCTATTTAATAAATGACCACTTGATGAACACTCTATAGTGAATAAGAAATTTTGCATTGACTTGTTCCATTACTCTGTTCTGGGGCCCACATCTGTTGGGTGATATTGGAGACAGTAGAGCAATCCAAGCAGCAGAGGGAAGTAGGTTTCCTTATCCCCCTGTCTGCTGCTCTGTCTAGGCAGTGATGCTGATGAGTAGAATAGGCAAGACAATGCTGATAACCAAATATGTTATTTATCATACTGATTTGATCAAAGCCAATGGGAGACAAAACATGTCAACAGCATCCAGAAGTTCTTATAAGTGTACAGGCTGAAAGTACCCCTTTACACCTGACCCCAGCTCCGCCTTTAAATTGCCTTATTTTTGTCATCAGAATCGTGTGACATTCAGTCATTTTCTCCTCCTTATTTTGACTGTTTCTCTATCAGCTCTCAGTGACCCAGAACCCTATATTTTCTGACTTCATTCTATTTCTATTAAGAAAGCAGCCCCCAATCAATACTACCCACTCAATATTCCTATTCACCGACAGCACCATTTATAAACCAGCTCTTTATTTAGCTTATTCTCCTTGTCGCCTCTTCTCACTGCCTTTCCTCTCATTCTGGGTCTTGGAAAAGTGGAATTGCTGCGCATCGAGTGCGCACTTGCAAACAGCATGGTGGTGGAACGTGGAAAAAAACTCCCTGCAGTACGCAGGTGCACCATCATGGGGATCTTACTTTCAACTACATTCATCCCTACACCCTTGAATCCATTCCTACTTCTACTTCATAAAGCCCCTAAATATATTTTGGAGATGATTCCCAAAGACAAAATCCTTGATGAATAGATGTGCCAATTCACTTTTACTTCCCACCATCATAGCTTGAGACCATGAACTTGGTCACTCTGCACCAAGAAGCTAAGATGTGAAATGGCTTTCTGTTACCACCTTAGTGGTTTGCCTTCAGAGTTAGTGAAGTAGAAATAAAAAAGTTAATCTCATAATCATCGTTAGCTCTAGAGAGGCTTTTGAATTTGTGTTCTGAAGTATATCCTTTTATGTCCTTTTAAAGGGGAAAAAAAATAAAGCCCATCACTGCATTTAGGCTAATGTTCTCACTAGATAGATGTTTAAAAATCATTTGCTAACCTGAATTGAATTCATAAAGCTAGACCAACTAAGGAAAACTATATAAACATTTAAGTTACTATGACTTGTTTAATTATGATGCTACAAATGTGCATGTCAGGGTTTTTGTTTTGTGGTTAACATTTTTTAAATTACTTTTTGAAAAACATTTAACCCCAAGGAATTATGTCCATCATGAACACACAGTTTAAATAAACCAAATATCCAGGTATCACATCTGCTTACATTTTATGATTTATGTTTGTCTTATTAAAAATGAACATTTTTAAGTTGACATTTAGCAAAAAAAAAAAAAATCAAGAAACCCTTTGACTGTAACTCTGAAGTTATCATACAAACCCAACAGTTATATCACAAGCTCAAATAGAGCTCTGTCCTTTAAAAGATGAACAGATCTCCCTCTCCTCGATGCAGCCCAATATCCATTCTCAGCCATAAAAAGAATCCCTTAATTAGAGATCTTCAGCCGGAAGATTGTTTTATATCTCCCATTCAAGTAAAAGCTTGGTATATATAAACATAAACCCCAAATGAACCTTTACTTTTCAACATAATGCTACTCTTTTAGATGCAAATTTTGACACCGATTGTAAGCACATTTGTCCCTTTCTCTGTCATTTTACTAAAGATCAGTATCAATTGGGAATAGCAGCCTCAGAATATCATGAGTGTAGGTCATATATTAATTTTCCCGCAGCTTCCTGATGCTGACACTGCTGTCACACTGGCTATCTTTAAGCAGGCATTGGGCATTTCAAGCTGAGATATCTACATCCAGGCAACAGGTAGATCTATTGCTTTACGAAAACCCAGTGTCTTACAGCACAGCATCCTACTGACACTTAATATCCCTCAGTCCAATGCAAATCACTCAGAATCCCGGAGAGAAAGAACCTAAAATATCTTTGCAGTGCAGGCAGAATCATATTGCTGTTTAGACAGTTTTCCTTTTTGCCTTGGAAAAATTAGATTAATTGTTCACTTAGAAATGCAAAGTATGAGGGGGTGGGAGGATGGGTTGGCCTGGTGGTGGGTATTGAGGAGGGCACGTTCTGCATGGAGCACTGGGTGTTATTCACAAACAATGAATCATGGAACACTTCATCTAGAACTAATGATGTAATGTATGGAGATTAACATAAGAATAAAAAAAAAACATAAAAAAAAAAAAAAGAAATGCAAAGTATGAAACACTGACACAAGACCAAAAGCAGCATTTCAAAGAGGAAAGTGATGAGCTCACTGATCAGAGCATAGATGAGGAAGAAGTACCCGAATATCAGGGGGGTTAGCGGTTGCCCGGTTTTATGGTCTGTTGAGAAAAACTCCTTTGAGTGCCTAAGACTCCTAATTTATTGCAATTAATATTTTAAAATTATTGTACAAGTGACAATGATATTATTTAAGTAATGGCATCTTTACTGTGCCTACTGTTTCAATTAGTGGGTTCATTAATATTGGTATTCGTTTCTTCAGCTCAGCAAACTACTATGGTTAGAAGAGTGTATAAATTCAAAATTTAATTATAGTGTTGAAACAGTAATTAAAATGTATTGGCATGGCATTGTCAACTGCAGCTATATTCATAAGCTTCACAGGACCCTGCACTGTGCGCCCTGCAGCTGTGGAGTAATGAGTTGGGTACCATCACTGTGGGGTAAACTATGAGACTATTATCTCTGTACCCCTAAGACTTGATGAGGAGACACTGTACACTTTGCAGAAGGTGTTCGGGGGGGTTTAGGGAATGGTTTTTCATTAAGAGAAACTGTCTGCCCAGTTCCTTGTGCACGATTCACAGTGTGCCCTGCCTTTCGCTGTAGATAATGTATTCACCTTAATCCCGGTTCTCCCCATTGTGTCAGCAACCTGCTATTGTTTACTGCTGAAACCTTATGGCTGGAGAGAATTCCGTATGTTCCCATCGGTTTTATGGGGTTTTAACATTACTCTAACGCTCCTGCTTCCATTAAAAAAACCCAATGGCAAATGGCAAAGCTTCCAGGGCTAGGAACTACAACATTTTAAATCATTTCCAGATCACTTTGCAGAGCCTCTGCTAATGTCTATTTGGGGAAATAAGTGCCCCTTGGCAAGATAGCCCTACAAAATAACCACAGAGTGGGCAACTCCTTGGGCTACAGAAGTCAGACAGATGTTTAGAAAACAGAGAAAGAACCAAAAGAATATCCAGTTCCCCGGATTTTTCTTTTCACCCATCCCAGAGATATCTGGATTCCCTCTTGTTTACTAATAAGGAAACTGAGGCCAGAAAGGTTAAGTGACTTGTTCAAGATCAACTTCCTAACTCACTAGGGCTGCTGATCAAGTGACTGCAGTCCATCATTCTATACATAACTTAAAAACAAATCAAAAGGGAATTTTGAATGTAAAACTCCCCAGTGAAATATGCTATGGAGTTAACACTGATGAACCCCTACCCCTATCCCTGGGGCAGGATACTTCTAAGTTTAAACTGCAAGTCTTCAGGGGTGCCTGGCTGGCTCAGTCGCTAGAGCATGTGACTCTTGATCTCAGGGTCTCGAGTTCAAACCCCATGTTGGGCGTGGAGCCTACTTAAAATATATATATATATACTTCATCTCTTCATTTATTTATTTTTTTTAAGATTTTATTTATTATTTGACAGAGAGAGAGATAGCGAGAGCAGGAACACAAGCAGGGGGAGTGGGAGAGGGAGAAGCAGGCTTCCCGCGAAGCAGGGAGCCCGATGCGGAGCTCGATCCCAGGACCCTGAGATCATGACTTGAGCCGAAGGCAGACGCTTAATGACTGAGTCACACAGGCGCCCCCATCTCTTCATTTAAAGATTATGATTTTTCTTTCCATATATGTAGTATACTAAAAAAATTGAATATAACCCAAATCTAGACCTTCTTTCTGTTCACTAATTTTTTTGCCCTTGCAGTTCCTTTGATGCATTATGCAATCACTAAGCCACATCTTTTTTTTAGGCATCTGTTCATAGATGTCCCTTGAAGGCAAGTCACCCCTCTTAACTTTGTGTCCCCAAGCATCTAGCAACACAGTATCTTGACACTGTATTTGGTATGTAACTTGTGTATGTAGCTGTCATTGCTTCTTGGTGGGGTAAATACTTTGGATGAGTGAACCTTTCTTTACAGTCCAACTAGCAGTTCAGTAAAATGAAAATGAATAAAAACTCAGAAGAATTCAGTAGACATAGGTCAGAGAAGTACAATTCCCAGCCAACCAAAGCACGTTGCCTAGAAATAAGAAGTTTGGTAAAGATAATGTCTCACGTCTCTTCTGAAACCTTGCCCACCAAAGCTGTAAGTTGATGAATATGGCTGTTACTGTTTTGGTTTGATGCTTTCACCATTAATTGTTGGGTCTTCTGCATTGTTCAGCAGGTTTTGCTGGTGCTGTGTGTATTTATCTGATGTTTACAGACTGTTTCTGTTAACTACTACAGGTTTACACCCTACGAATGGTATAACCCCCACCCATGCAACCCTGACTCAGACGTGGTGGAAAACAATTTTACTTTACTAAATAGTTTCTGGTTTGGAGTTGGAGCTCTCATGCAGCAAGGTACACCGGTTGCCTATCTTTGTCACATGCATCCCACAGTCTGCTGACAGGCTTTGTTGCTGGTAAACTCCACCATAAGGCTAGAGGGTAGGCTGAAAAACGATCTCAAGAATTAAAAAATAGCACCTGACTTCAGAGTCAGTTCTAAAGATAGCAAAGATAAAAATATGACCTGAATGGAACTTCTTGTCTGTATTTCTAAAATAAGACTTCTATGCAGCAATACAAATTTTCCTAGAAGGAAGTAATGGTTAAAATACCTTAAAAATTGTTTACAAATTTGCATAGATGGAACGATCAGACTTTTCCTTTCCAGCCATAACTCCACAAGTCAGGGGTTCTAAAGGAGTGGAATTTGAATCCTTTGAAAATTAAGTTGCCTTACATTTTTCCAGTAGCTGACAGTACCTAAAACAATCACCTAATTACCACTCCGACAAAGCCTACTGGAATTCATCCTCACTTGTAACTTTTTACAATCTCCCTCAATTGGTAAGCATAGCAACAATAAACTGTAAGGGTGCGAAAATAAAATTCAAACCATAGAAATGTAATATATTTTATATATTTTATATGATATGGGGAATTTTGATTTTGTTGGGGAGGGAGGAGGGAGTCATTTTAACCTTTGGAAGAAATCCAGCTCTTTTGTGGATTTTCCTCAGCTTTGATTCTACGCATATGGTCTAGAAAAGACATCCCAAGATTAAGTGGATTAATTTAAGAAAATCATAAGTCACAGATGCTGTCGTGTTTAGAATAATCTACTCATTTGACAGTACACTGCAAAATAAATTGGCAAAGGAAAATTCAACAAGGATATATATATACATATATATATTAAATATGTCTGTTACTTGGGGGTGAACCTCAGGCTTCTCATGAGGGAGTTTTTATCATATTACTTGAAATGTTTGTATTCTGTGTTTATAAACGAGAGGGAGAGAGGGAAGTATCAAATATTTGAGAAAAGTGGGTAAATTCTCTCATCAGGCAGTTCAGCAGTTTATGCGGGCACTGCTAAATAGGTATAAACATAGCACCGAATTTACTAGAAATCACTTGCATAAGGTTAGAGGGTAGCACAGAACTGTAAGTCCTGCAGGAAAACCCATTAGAAGCCATATAGTGCTTTACCAGTGCATTTAATTTTTAGGGCATTTGTCTCATGAGCAACAACTATCAAAGAACAAGGAGACAACCCCCCCACCCCCAAGACACACACACCTTCCCTATAGCTTGTTTGTCTGTACCATTAGAATTGAAAAATATAGGCGTGGGTTTTACAGAGTAGACAGCAAGTCCATTCAGGTACACATGACCATGACTGCCTTGTGTCGTGTGAGTGCACCCAGCTTCTCAAATGCTCTTTCATATTCTGTTTGGAGTTTACCATCATCCACAGCAAACCGTGGGATGCAGTGTCTGCTAGTTACCACTACCTTGGGTACATGACAGTCAGCCCCAACCAGACTCTGCTTGTTTTTCAAGAAGGGTAAAAATACTTGTCAGCTGACCCAAATATTGTCATATACAAATTGATGGTACTGATGACTGTTTAGTGGATCTGTCCTTAGCGTGTGGAATTGGACCAGGTAGCTAACTTCTGTATCAACTGTTGTGCTCTCTCTTGTTAGCAGAAGCTTGTCACTGTACTCCATTGGAAACCATTGTGTTTCATTTCTTTTTTTAATGTGATGATCAGACTTTCTCTTTTCTACAGAGCGTGAGCAAAGTCTGGATCAGGATTGGCTGTCATGTCTGCCATAAAAGGCTCTAAAGAGACTTCAGCAAGTATTGTCTCTCCCAAATATTTTCTAACGATGCTTCACTTGACTTTTGTTGCCTACATAACTTCATCCTCTCCAGTTCCGAACTTAGACAAATCATCTCTATTTGCGGAAAGCCGTTTCTAAGTATTTCAATTAACGCTGAAAGTCATGAAAGTCACAGAACCGTGTGAAAATAAAAAACATAGTGAAATGTCAAGAAATCTAATTCGTACCATAGACCAAGGGTTTAAAATGTAATCTGAGTAGATTTCTACTAGTTATTTTTTTTTAGTTTCCAAGACTACATCATTCAAAAGTATATTTATTTTAAAGTATGATAGGTATGAATTTATATTATTTCTGATTACTGGTCAGTGGTCCAGTTTTGCTGTCACATAATACATAGTTATACAAATAACAAATTACCACCTTCTCTTTTCATGAATGCGACCAAATAACAAAAGGATAAATTTACAGCAGAAAAATCCATACCTATAAGCTAAGAAAATATATCTGTTAACTGTATTACTTATTTCCCATGGCTATTTTATGAAATAAATGGTATTTTAATGATAACTGACTAAAGATCTAAATAATATCACACTGCCAAAAGGCTGCTAGATCAATTAAGTACAAAGATATGAAACAACCTTGGTCATTAAGCACACGGAGACACCCACAGGCACACAAATCCCATTTAACCACAAGATTAAAACAACAGCAACAAACTATCCCACTAAATTCTTGGAGGCAATTTAATGGAAACTATTATAAATCTGTGTAATATTACACACCCAAATTCAAACAAACAAACAAAAGAAGAAAATACAAATTGCAAAAAACTGTTTACCTCATTAAAAGAGAATAAAGCTCCCAGATACCTAAGAGCATTAGGAAAATGTATCTGTTAATTCAAAGCCCAGAAACCCTGCCAACCTTGATCTGCTTATCATGAGCCTTGAGCTGGCTTTGATTTCATGAGCAATATGTGTGTCTATTTATAGATTAAATTTGAGTATAAACTCATTTATCTGTAGATTGGTAACCTCCAATTCCCCACTCCGTCTTGAGCCATTAACTACAGAACTTCAAAACACCCAATCAGAATAGTGAAAGAATCCTTGAAAACAGATATTTCACCTGCTGTACTTCACCTTTTAGATTTTTACATTTTCCACTTTTTAACTGATCATATAAATTCACCATGCCTCTAAGTTCATGGAGGAAATGCTAAGTACAGAACCCATGGTGAATTTCAGGCAGGCGGAGTAGCCAAAATCCACCCATGAATCAGTACGATTAGAGTGAGCCCTGCATCCCCGCTTCTGCTCCTTTTTAATTCCACTACTGGATTCATAGACATCTATAGTTCAGGTTGACCAACAGTTTTGAGCTGGAGAGTTTTCACAAATGCTTACCCTTTGTGTCAGTAAACTTGGTCCATATACCTTTTCTTTTAGAGAGAACGGATCTCTTGGTTAACATGTTACGTGCCTCCCATGTTATCTTTTACAAATAATAAACAACGGATGACATCTAAAAATGTATGTTTACCAGGAAGGGCCCCTTTCCACCTGAGAAATGGCCAGTCTTTGAAGTATAATTAAAAACAAGCACTTTGGGGTACCTGGGTTGCTCAGTTGGTTAAGCATCTGCCTTTAGCTCAGTTCATGATCCCAGAGTCCCAGGATCAAGCTCCACATGGAGCTCCCTGCTCAGCAGGAGTCCTCAGCGGGAGTCTGCTTCTCCCTCTGCCCCTCACCCCGCTCTCATGCTCTTATTCTCTCTCTCAAATAAATAAGATCTTTAAAAAAAATTTTTTAAATAAAAAAATAAAGGCGAGCACTTTAAAGGACAAAAGCATGCTTTTCAGTGAATATATTCTTCCCAGTCACACAAGAATATACGTTAGAAAAAAATAATTTTGACTTTAAAAGTAACATAAAACAATGGAAATTGATTCATCAACTGTCAAGTGTAGCTCTATCCTATTTCATTTGATTGTAAAATCCTAAAGTTTTATTAAAGTACGTTAATCTTTTAAAAGTTTCTCACATTCTTTAATCTTAAACAAAAATAAGTTAGTGTTTCAAAGCTTTCATAGTTGTACAAAGACTGATAACATTTTATTTCACACAATAAGATGCATATCAGACAGTTAAATAAAAGCCCCCAAAGTCTTGGGGTTGACTTTTTAACAAAAACAAGCAAACAAATCCAAATCTAAGCAATTAAGCTAACTCTATAAATTTTAGACATGGAATAACTCAGGGTTAAAAACATTTAATACCATCAAATGTTGATAAATTACATTTTAAGCAATACCTGCAATTAGTGATAAAAGATCATTTAGATTTTCCTCTATTTTCTAAAAAACACTTCTATCTCACCTACACACAAGAAAGTAAGCCCTTAATGGCTTTATAATTTTTATGTCGTAAAAATGCATTATCTCCCTAGACTAGTGTCAAATCATGAGTCTTCCCTCTTCTCTTAACTCTGTTTAACTCTCTTACTCTGGTGATACCATCACAGGATCAGAGCTGATGCCCAAAGCTCTATCGACCAGGATAGTTGGAGGGATATGGTGGTTTTTCACCTTAATCATCATTTCATCCTACACTGCCAATCTGGCTGCCTTCCTGACAGTAGAGAGAATGGAATCCCCCATAGATTCAGCAGATGATCTGGCAAAGCAAACCAAGATAGAATACGGGGCAGTCAGAGATGGATCAACAATGACCTTCTTCAAGGTAAGAAACGGACAATGTATTCTCAAAGGTTATCTCATATTGAGGGGAGAGGAATGTGGAATAAAAGAGTCTCTCCAAAAAAAAAAAAAAAA